TTTTCTTTAAGAGTTTTGGTTCTGGAGTTCCTGGGTAGTTCAGTCCATTGAGGGTCCAACTTCTGATTTTGGTTCAGGTCATGATCTCACAGTTTGTAAGATCAAGCACCTCATCAGGCTCTGCACTGACAGCATGGAGTGTGCTTAGAATTCTCTCTCCTCTCTCTGCTCCTTCCCCTGCTCATGCTCTTTCTCTCTCTCTCAAAATAAATAAATAAACAAATAATTATAAACAAGAGTTTTAGTTTTCTTTAAGAATCGGATAAAACTCTATTGGTCATCTCCCTGGAAAATGCCCATATGCATAATATTCTTTTTGCATAAGGATTCACAGATTTTCATGTATTCCCAGATAATGACACCTGTTTTACAGTAGTCTTAGACTTATCTCTATCATTTTTCCCTTCAAAATATTCCTAACTATGCTCTTATCTACATCCTCCTACCAATCCCCTTGTTCTGTATGAGGTTACAGAGAGGAACGGTAGAGGAGAAAAATATAAATGGACACTTGTCAGTGTTGTCATTACAGCACTGAGTTCTGTGACAAAGATAAGGCCAGAGAACTGTGGAGGTATTGGAGGAGAGCCACAAGCTATCATTGCTCACCCAATTACAACAGCACCCTAACTGATCTCTCAATTTCTCTCTTGCTTTCTGTCTCAGTTCATTTTTTGCTCTTGCCTTCTGTTTCAGTTCATTTTTTGCCTGGTAGAATAAGATGTCTTTTTAAAGCATAACCAGATCACATTATTCCTTCAAAAACCTCTCTATTCACACTAATAAAATTCAAACCCCCTATTCATATCTTCAAGGCTCTATCTGATCTGGCCCAGCCCTTTCTCCTACTGCTGTCTGCTTAGCTTAATTCATTCTAGCTCCACTTTAATTCTGCCTCAGGACTTTCCACTTAACTTTTGTCTCTGCCTGTATCACACATCTTCTGACCATGACTATCTTTCTCTCTTTATTTAGGCCTCAGGTGGCTGAGATCCTGACCACACTACTTCAAATCTGTCCTTCACCCTGTTTTGCTATTTTTCATCACACTTGTTACTAAGCACTTCATTAATGTGTTGTTTGTTTTCTGATTTTCTCACTCTTATAAGTGCCATGAAGACAGAGACTTTGCTTATTCACTGGTGTATCTCTAGGGCTTAGAACAGTATCCAGTACAGATGATAAATTGTTCAAATATTTGTTAAATAAGTGTTGAGGTTAATACTTTGTTCATGCACTGTAGACCATAATTGAGTCTTGCACATAAACAATAAAAGAAAACTTTTTAAAAAGTAAAAATTTGAGGAGTGCCTGGGTGGCTCAGTCGGTTAAGTATCCAACTCTTGATCTCAGCTCAGGTCATATCTCACGATTTGTGAGTTTGAGCCCCATGTCAGGTTCTGCACTGACAGCACAGAGCCTGTTTGGGATTCTCTCTCCCTTTTCTCTCTGCCCCTACTCTACTTGCACTCTCTCTCGAAATAAATGAATAAACTGGAAAAAAAGTAAAAATTTTAAACTACTTCTAAGATAAAAAGAAAAAAAGTGTAATTATATTAATTCACATTTTTTTTTTTATTATTCAAAATGTAGAGTCAGCCTAAATGTCCATTAATAGGAGATGCTAAATCAACTACTGTAGATTCTACTATGGAAATATTGTGTAAAGTTTCAAAACAATGAAATAAACTTTTATTTATTGATATAGAATGATGCCCAGGATTTATTATTAAATGAAAAGAGCAAGTTACAGAACACAGAATGGTGTGCACAACATGATCTTATTCATATTAAATACACACACACTTGCCCCAAATCTAGATAGATACCTATCAAATTAACAAAAGTGGCTCCCCCTGGGTGGAACTAGGTGGGAATCAAGAGGAACTTTCTTTTTTTATTTTTTTTTTAAATTTTTTTTCAACGTTTTTATTTATTTTTGGGACAGAGAGAGAGCATGAACGGGGGAGGGGCAGAGAGAGAGGGAGACACAGAATCGGAAACAGGCTCCAGGCTCTGAGCCATCAGCCCAGAGCCTGACGCGGGGCTCGAACTCACAGACCGCAAGATCGTGACCTGGCTGAAGTCGGACGCTTAACCGACTGCGCCACCCAGGCGCCCCAAGAGGAACTTTTGACATATTTGTATTGTGCACATTAAAAAACCAAAACAGGAAAAAACATGAAACAAGAATAAATTACTGTATTACTTGTTTGATTGAAAATAAATTTTAGAAAACAAGAAAAACAGGTATGGCAATAGCTAATAGTCTGATATTCATATTTGAAACATACCTACTATTGTGAAAAATTAGCATGAGAAGACCTAATTGTAATTTTTATTAAAAAAAGAAGCTGTCATACATTGTATTTTGAAAAAAAAAAATCAGTGCAAACACCTAATAAAGGATTGAAATCACACAGAAAGATTATTAAATTAAAAGTAGAATTTTCTTGGGGTGCCTGGGTGTCTCAGTCGGTTAAGCGTCTGACTTCGGCTCAGGTCATGATCTCACAGCCTGTGAGTTTGAGCCCCGCGTCGGGCTCTGTGCTGACAGCTTGGAGCCTGGAGCCTGCTTCAGATTCTGTGTCTCCCTCTCTCTCTGTACCTTCCCCGCTCGTGCTCCGTCTCTCTCTCTCACTCTTTCAAGAATAAATCAACATTAAAAAAAATTTTAAAAAAAAGTAGAATTTTCTCACATATATGTGCATACATTTATATATGTATTTATGCATATATATGGAGATATATGCATATATACATACATCTATACTTATATAAATATATACATATATACTTAAAATACTATATATTTGTATACTTAAAATGTATACAAATTAATCTACTCTACCTACCATTTGGTAATTGCTTTTAAAAATCGTATAATTTATTTTGAAGGATTTCTTAACACTTAAGGCTATACTGAATTCTTCAAAGGTTAAGGAATACCTTTGGCTGGGTAGGCTGTAATTTAGGAATGGGCATCTAGATTATTTCTAGATTTTTCCTATTTCAAAATGTTTCAATGAATATGTCTGTATATATCCATGTACATGCATATAGATCAATATAGATTACATATCATATAATAATATACATGATGTATATATGCAATTTAAAATATTTATCACATATACTGAGATAGATAGATGATAGATAGATATACAGAAAGATAAATAGATGAGTCTGACACCACCAAATTGCTTTTCTAGATATCATACCAATTATGCTTTTAGCAATAGAATATGAAAATTCTTGTTTCCTTATGCTCTTACCAACTTTGGACATTAGTTCAAAATTGCTGTCATTCTCACAAATTAAAACAAAATGGTGTCTCATATTGTTTTCCCTTTCTTTTCTTTAATTATTAAGACATACAATGATACTCAATCTCACTCAAAATTAAGGAATGCTTGCTTCAGTGTTATAGTTCGAAAGAGCTGTGGGTATTTATACCAAAGGCATGGAAATGAGATTCACCTAAAATAGACTAAATAACCAAGTAATGTTCACTTAATTTGTAATATATGATCAGGTATGTAGTTCAAACTCTAAAATTTTCACATATGTGAAAAAGTTTATTGTTCTCTGTTAAGTATCTATCTCTCATTATATCACAATGGTTTTCTAGAGGCTACATACAATGTATATTTGTAGTACTTCTATCCTTTGCCTTCTCTTCAGTTTTTGGTATTATACAATAATCCTTCCTAAAGATTTTCTCTTCCTTTTCCTTCTAAGACATGTGCTTTATGTTTTCTCCAACTCTAATATCATTCCAAATTTGATTGCAAGATATTCTTTGTTTGTTCATCCCCTAATCTTAGTGAACCCTTAAAGTTGGTCTTTAGCATTTCCCCACAGTACACACACTGACTTACTTCTTTTATTTCCATATTACCTACATGGTGATGCCACAAATTTTTATCTCAATTCAGCCTGTATATATTCTTGTGGGATATTTACCTATACAATTCAATAGAAATCTCATTCAGAATATTCCACTGGAAACAACTAAACAGATCCCCAATTAGCTTTTATCTTTTCCTTCACCACCATCTGCAAAGTTCCACACTTTCTTCTCTATTCTCTGCACTATAAACAGCACCACAATCAATTCAATCGCTCAGACCCTAAGCCTGGACGGTCACCTCCCACAACTAGCTAGTCGTTCTTGTATCAGTTCTATCTTTTAATTTTTAAAAAATGTTTACTGATTTTTGAGAGAGAGATGGGGGTGGGGGTGGGGGGCGGAGAGAGAGAGAGAGGGAGACACAAAATTCAAAGCAGGCTCCAGGCTCTGAGGTCTCAGCACAGAGCTAGACACAGGACTGGAACTCAGGAGTTGTGAGATCATGACCCAAGCCAAAGTCTAACTTTTAACCAACTGAGTCAGGTGACCTTCTATTTCTGAAATAGTACTGGAATATGTTACACGTGTCTTACACTGCTATCACCACCCTAAACATTCCACCAAATGTTTTTTTTAAATAGATACATGAGGGAATAAATCGGACAGGAAGACAGTAAAGTGCAATAAATAATGGCACATAGTGCCCTATGTTAATCACGGAATAGGTTTAATATCTTTTCCGTTTTTCAAAGTGCTTTTTCAGAACTTGAGTTTTCCTCAGTGTCATGAAAATGGGTGACCTTTTCTTGTACATGCTCGCCTTTCTTCCCCCTCCTTCCCTTCATGTGGATCCCTTTCGTGTTCATTTCTTCTCTCTTAAATCTAGCCTTTCTTTCTGGGACCCACTTCCGCTTCTCCTTCCCTCTCCCTGGCCCGGCGCCTTCCCTCACAGCACGCTGGTCAGCTCCTCTCGCTGGTAGGCGGACTCACACCCGCCCACACGGAGCCGGAGTCACGAGTCTGCGGGCGGTGAGCTACGAAGCAGGCGGCTTAGCGGGCGGGGCGAGGCCGGGGCGAGGCCGGGGCGAGGCCCCGGCGCCGCAGCGCGCGTGGGCGGAGCCAGGCACACCGTCCGCCCTTGCTATATCTGCGCCTGCGCTGGGCAGCTGCGGGGCCAGTCGGGACGGAGGAGACAAGATGGCGCTGCGGGCGATGCGGGGAATCGTGAACGGGGCCGCACCCGAGCTACCCATGCCCACCAGCGGGCCGGTGGTGGGATCCCGGGAGCAAGCGCTGGCAGTTAGCCGGAACTACCTTTCCCAGCCTCGCCTCAGTGAGTATCAGAGAACAAGACGAATCTTGTTTTTGCTCCTTACCCAGTCCGTGCTCTCATTCACCTGCTTAGCGGGGGAGGGGGGATTTATTTTTCCCTCTCTCACCGCCCCTACACTGACCCAAAAGTCTGTTCTTAGAAGGAGATATGAGTGTACCTAACGTTTTCGTAACATAGGTAGGCCAAGGGCAAGAGAACCGCCAGGAACTTTTTCCTGGGGGTGGTGGGCTCCAGGCTTTTGCCCCGCCCTCTCCAACTTCCCTAGACTGGAGCTTTATCAGGCACTTGCTTCCTGTCTCTGAGGCAAGGCCGCTTCTTGTGACTTCAGTCTTCAGCTGCCCCCGCCCCATATCATTTGGATATGTACCCTCTCCTCCCTCTGGTATAGACCTTTAGGGGTAGTCTGGAGTTCCTGCCTAGGGAGACTCTGTAATGCCATCGCTGACGTGGTCTGGCCTTTACTTGATGGAGGTCAGGCTCACAGCCAGAGGGAGATGTTTTGTGGAAGGGCTGCTCCACGGGAGGACACCTTGAGATCAGAGAATGCTACAGCTGAAAAGTATTCTGCAGGTCATCTAGTCTAACGCTCTCATTTTACAGTGTGAAGCTTACAGTCTGGGTAGTACACGACTTCCAGACTTTAAACGCTTAAATGATTGGCAGAGCAGGAATTAAAATTCCGTTTCTTAATTTTCTCTGGGCCCTTTTCTACCATTGTCTCTTCATTTACTGATGAGTTAAACCTAACACGATTGAGTGCAAGGATATCCTGGGGAAGCCAAGCAGCTTTGCCCGTATTATATAGTCTGTGTGCAAAGCATATCATACATATGCATGTTTAAGTGTTGTTGTGACTGTAAAAAAAAAAAAAAACCTGCCTTAATAAACCATGTTTTAAGTGGACTACCAAAAGAAATGTTTATTTATTTATTTTTATTACTAAACAGTACAGTTGTGTAGCATCAGATGTCTTCACAGCTTCCTTAGGAATTAGGGATCAGCCCTGGAAATTGACTCTTTTTAAAACCTGGGGAAGCACCTGATGTTTCCCCAGGTGGTGAGACAATATTTGCACTGGTTAATTGCCAGAATGCCTGTTTGTGGGCGGCTCATTGGTTAAAAAAATTTTCAAATGAAGGGTTCCAGTCTAGGGCTCTCCAGTCTGACTAATCCTATCCTGATCTATCACTAGGTCATATGACAGCACTGCAGTGAGAGGAAGAGGGAAAACACAGTTGATTCCATGGTTTACTAAAATGTGCTTTTTACATTGAATTATCTGAATTAGAAAATGCCTGTTGGAGGTTTATATAAATGAATGTTTCAAGAAATTGACAGATATTGCATTCTTATATAGATTTTGACAATAAATTTATACCCAACAATTACACATTTTATTTTATGAATTGCATTTGCATGCTTTGCTTTTCTGGGTAGAGCAGGTAAACATTAGTGACTTGTAGGAAAAGATTATAAGGGTGCAATAGTTTCCATATAATCTTTCTTTCAGTGTTAATTCAGAGAGTATCAACTGAAATAATAAAATTGTTTAAAACATGGTTGTTAATCCTTAAGAGAGGAGTGTGGTTTTTCACTATTCTTTGTGTGCTTAGCCAGCAGCAAAAGAACTCCAGAGGAGATGCCTCCTGACAAAATTGTTACAATATAATGCTTAAAACTGAACCTCAGGAATCCTTTTTGTGTCCTCATTGTAGCAAGGTGCTTGACACATAGAAGGTGTCTTGTAATTGTTTGATAACCTGCATTTAAACCCCTTGTTTTAATAATTTAGGAGATTCTTACTGTGGGTGGAATCAGAGTAGGGAGTTGGGACACTTATTTGAGTTGCCCTTCTGTGTCTGGGTTATTCTGAAAAGCATAAATGATACTGAATTTAGGCTAACAGTTAACTATATTTGAATATCATCCTTTTCTTATATTGCCATATTCTTGATTCTAGTCCCACAGTTTTAATTGCTTCTGAATAAATATTGATTAACTTCTTAATTTTTCTAAAGATTGATTATACCACCTTAGGTGATATGTTATTATAGTAATTTAATGTGTGCTTTTTGAATAAAGGAGTGGAACTAATTTGGCAGTTCCACTGTAAAAATTCGATCCTGTTTTAAAACAGCATCACAATTATGGGTCTGTAAATGAGAAATGGAAAATGAGATATACAGCCTTGAAGTAATCATGAGCATTTTAGTTGAATTTCTAATCACAAGGAAAGAAAACTTAATTTTCTTTTAAATTGTGAGCAAAATTCAGTAATACATATAGAACTTTTATATATTGAACATTTTGAATTAGATGATCTCTGTTGTTCTTAAGACCTTACTTAGATCAGAGCTAACCTTAAGTTTCTTATTTCATAGTGCAGAGTTAGCCTCAGAACTAACCTTATGTTTCCTATTTCATAGAGCAGAGTTAGCCTCAGTGAAAAGTCAAGTAAAGGAATTATCAGTTTGCCTTTTTTTAGAACCTCTCAGTACCCACCTGTCAGGGTGTGGGTCTCTACTATTCTTGCATAATTGAAGATGATTGCTTGGGGTTTTTGTTTTGCTAATAAGGTGGAGGCTAGAGCACTGGATCTGGTATTATGCAATGACTGTCTAATTTTCTCTGAAAATTTCACAATCATTAAGTGGCGTTACTAGTGTTGAACAATATCGTATCCTGCAGGAGGAAGAGGATGTCATCTGACAAAATAAGTGCTTCTTAAAACCTTTGTAAATTTAGATTTTAAAATATACTCCATAAATATTACTTGATAGTACTTGCTTGATAGTTAAGGATCAAAGATGTAATGTGTTCAACATGTAATGTAAACATGTATCTATGTTGTCCAAAGTTCTGAATATCCCCTGCAGACTCAACTTACTCATCTGGGAATTTTCATAAGAAGAGTGGTCATTATTTTGGTAAATACAAACGTTTATATAATTTGTGAATAGGTTTTGACTTTTCATAGAGCAGCTTAATGTCTTTGGCAGCCTTACTCTAAACTTTTCTCTCTGCTTTGGGCTGTTAATAGTAATTGTGAGGAAGGCTGGGTAAACACTGTTGAGAGGTAAAAAGTAGTGTTTGGTATCATTTTCTCTGCTTGTATTTTTTTAAAATAGTTTTATTATGGAAAAGAGCTATAGTTGGTATATATAAACTGTCTTACAGTACCTGTTTGTAGTCAAAATGCTAGGAACTGTGTCACCTCTATATTTATTAAATTATATAGGAGACTAAGTTAAGAAATACAGGGTCATAGAATACCAACCTTAGAATTAGGGGGAGAAAAAGCCAAACAAACCAAAAATCCAATTCTAAGTCCAGTTCTTACATTTAGTAACAAATTTGTCAGAGCCTTAGTTTAAGTGTAGAGTGGCTTTATCAGCCTTGCTGATCTCCCAGCATTTTGTGAATCTGAAATGAGGTAACTTCTCTGACGACACACTGTATAGTGTGAAACACTCTCTAAATGTAAAGTTTGGTAATATTTTTATTTAGTTTGGGTTATAGCTTTTATTTGTTCGGTTTGTATATGTCAGTTTAATTTAAATCGAGATGTTGCTTAAGCTCTGATTTGTATCTGAAGTAGTCTCCTTGCATTTTTTAAGCTTTCCAGTGAGGGGAAAGAAGTAAGCATCTCCATTAGATTCTCCCACTCTGCCAGTGGCTATATGCCATTGTAGAAAGACTGTGTAGCAGTAGTGACAAAATTTAGACACAAGAGAAGTATTGTCCAGTGCATTAAATAGCAACAATAACTTACTTTTTCATAGCTAAAGTTGCAGACTTGTGAAATTGTTTTGAGTGGTATAGCTACTTAAGTCTTACTAATAATTACAAGAGTGTACCAGACCACGGAAAACAACCAGTTCAGTTTTGGAATTTGAGCTGCAGTACAGAGTTAAAAGAACAAGTGGCTCTGGGTCCAGGCTATATATAAGTTCAGATTCTTGGGGCACCTGGGTGGCTCAGTCGGTTAAGAATCCAACTCTTGATTTCGTTTCAGCTCATGATCTCAGGGATCCTGGGTTCGAGCTCTGAACTGTTGGCACAGAGCCTGCTTAGGATTCAATCTCTCTCTCTCCCCCTCTCTCAAACTAAATAAACTTAAAAAAAAAAAAAAAAGTTCAGATCCTTGTCAAGTTACTTGACTACTTATCTGAGAGTCCTTTTTCTCTTCTAAAACTTGGAATAATATTAGTTAACTCTGATCTGTTAATGGAGATTGAGAATTCCTGACAATTACTTATTAACTGTATATTGGTGGTGTTGGTATTAAACAATTAATTTGAATGGTTATTTATAGACTTTTTAAAGTATGTACATTGTTGCAAATTTAGAGACTGCTTTTGATGAAATAGAATTTTCTGTAATAGAAGTCAACTTGATTCATTGTTTCCAGCAAAAACAATGACTAGTGTTTCTTTTTCTTGGTCAGGCTTTTGCTTGTGACTGGCAAAACTTCATAATTTGAAATGAGCTTGAATTTAAACGTGAGATTCTGAAGGATCTGGTTGCGGAGGCTAAAAGTTCAGAGAAGATGCCAATCTTGATGAAAAAGTAGAGAGAATTTTCAGAATCTGAAGAATTTTGTTGGTTACATTTTATTCAAAACAGTTGCCTCTATGAGCACCTGGATGGCCCAGTTAGTTAAGCTTCTTTCTGACTTTGGCTCAGGTCATGATCTCACAGTTGGTGGGTTCTAGCCTTGCGTTGGAGCTCTGCACTGACAGCACGGAGCCTGGAGCCTGCTTTGGATTCTGTGTCTCCGACTCTCTGCCCCTGCCCTGCTTGTGTGCTCACTTGCTCGCTCGCTCTCTCTCTCTCTCTCTCTCTAAAATAAACATTAAAAAAATAAAGTTAAAACATAGTTGCCTATAAATCTCAAAACTAGATCCTCACCCCCACCCCACCAGCTGACACCCTCCTCTTATCCCTGACTAAGTGAAGGTTTTGAAAATGTGTTGTTCCTATATTTTTAAAAGCTGTGTTCTAGGAAAACATGTTTCAGATGTAGCTCCCTTTGCATTTCTACATAGCAGTTTTAGAAAGTCATTGAAAAACTGAATGTTCAAATTCACTCAAAATGAGAAAAATTAATTTTTTTTAGGAGTAGGAATTATTTTTAAGAGTATCAGATTATTTTCATATAGTGGGGAGGATTTTGATAAAAAGCCTCTGTTTTTTTCTGTTTCTGTAATTTAAAGAGAATTGGATTAATTGTTTTACATTACCATCCATTCAAGTAACTTAGCTTTTTAAATTTGTGACTTGGTTTTTATTATCCAAGGTTAAAAAAGTCATTTGGGGCCCTCTGTTGAGATAATTACAATTACAGATATTCAAGCAAATATCTGGTATCAGGTTTAAATGTCCTATGAGCATGAAAGACAAATGCCCCTGATAGTGCTTTCCTGCTTCCAGCATTTGTCCCAGGGTGCTTGCTTTCTGGTTGAAGAAATTGTTTTCAAGTTTTTAAGCCCCTTGAGTGGACAGACTAGTTATATTAAATGGTTTCCTCATTCTTGGAAGTCTATATTTGTGCCAAAAATCTCTATCCCAAGACCTCACAAGAAATGAAGCAAATGAAAAATTCTCAGATGACAATTTCTTAAAATGTATTTAAAGCCTTGTATTAAGTTTTCTTCATTTATTTCATTTTTTCAGCTGTTCTGATTATGAAATTTAGTTAATTCTGAGATTAGAATTACTGTCTCCTGAGTGTTCTGTTTTATACCTAAATAGCGTTACATTTGACATGTTTGTCGGTGTAGGATAGCTGGCTCCTTTCTGAAATGAAGGATTTGGGTAGTACCTTATTGGCTGGTAGTTTATTCCTAGAGAATAATTTGCAGTGGAAAAATACAAGCCTCTAAACTGACAGTAACATTTTACTTTTTCTAAGAAAAAAAAAAACAAAAAAAGGTCTTATTTGACCTCTTCCATTGTCTACTCCCCACTTCCTAAAGTTCTTTTCCCTGTAATTTTTATGACATCATTTAATTATGGCTTTTTACCTCACAGATTACATTTTCTCAGATTTCCTTTGTGAGTTTTGTCATTTGTGTTTAAAGTTGTTGAAGCCTTCCTTTCCCTTCCTTATCTACTTTGCTAAGTGTCACCTCTTATTTAAAGCATTATCTTTTCTCTTTGAAGTAAGAACTACTGCTAGGTTTTTCCTGTGCTCCCACAAACCCTCTATGTCTGTTATAGCCCTTAACTCTCCCCCCTTCTCCATATAAAACTGGGAACTTGTGAAAGAGCTCTGCCCCTCTATGCCATCTTTGTTTTTGTGTCCTGGGTCCATAAAATAAAGTGACTTACAGTAAGAACACAAAATGTTTTTGGTTGGATGAGGATGGATTATGAAAAGTTGTACAGGCACAGGCATATTTCACAAATTCAATGAAAAGTTTTTAACTATTTCACTGCTCCATATTATAATAGGTGCAGTAGAGAGAGTAGCTTTTTGGTAATACTACAAAGACAATTGTAGGTTGTTGTCCTCTTTGACTAAAGCTGACTCTTCTGTGTTTCTTTCCAGCGTACAAGACAGTATCAGGAGTCAATGGTCCACTAGTGATCTTAGATCATGTTAAGGTAATACCACTATGATTATCATTTAAACATTTATGTAATTAAAGACATGGCATTAAGTCCTGTTCAGCACACTTTAAATTTTGTGTTACTGTTTTTAAGCCATTCTTTGGTCTGAATGTCAGTGCTATCTAGGAGACTAGTTTTAAAATCAAAAGACAGAATATTGGATTCCAGTAGTGGATCTACTGTGGATTCTGTTTATGGCCTAGAATTCCTCATTTGCAAAATTAAAAAAAAAAAGAAGAAAGAAAATTGGGGAGCGGTGTCAATCCTACCTCATAGGTTTATTGAGGAAAAACAACAGTAATCTATGAATGTGTTTTATAACCTATAGATTATTATTAGCTATGTGATATCTTTTGGCTGTTGTCATAGACTGCCATGTGTTATACTTATTTGTTAATAGTATTTGTCTTCTTTACTAAATTTTAAGGTCTTTGAGTGAATAAACAAAGTTACTTTTATCTTTGAGGGCCTGACACTGGTTTTCAAGTAATAATAAACAAGAACAGGTTATCTCAGCAGTGACTGAAACTCTAAAGAACGGTTTTTACTTAGTCTGTTGTAAGGATCTTTGGTTACATATTGGTTATTTAGCTACACCTATGCTTAAGAATTAAAAACACTATTACTGTTATTATAGAAAAAGAGGCATAGGATATAGACTGTAATTGAATATCCTGGGGAAAGCCTGCTACCTGAGCTCTATGATCAAAATATTTTCCAAGAAAATAATTTATATAGTATACTCTCTAGAACAATAATTCTGCATTGGTTGGTGTTGGGGTGGATTAGGGGAGAAGCACACAATTATTAGTTTGTTGGGAGAAGTAATGGTGGAAATATGTTTGACATGTGACCTCTCTGGAAGCAGAAAATAAATCGAAAAACGTTTCCTCAAAGAAAGGGCAAAGTGCATTGTCTCTTCAGCTTTATCACTAAGAGTATATTTTTATGCATAACAAGGTTCCTTTACAAATTTTAACCTTAAGATTAAGCATAACAAATGCATCTTCTGGCCACAGTCTCATGCTAGTCTGCAATTTGATATAAAGCCTTAATTTATTGCACTCAGTTTGTGCAGGGTGTAGGCAGGTGCCCATTAATATTTTGTGAAGTGGAGCCTACACTTTTATTTTTGAGGAAAAGATTGGATGCTTTCTTTTTTTCTTTTTAATCCTTTATTTCTCCTTTTTTTTCTATGTTAGATAACATTTTTGACTCATTATAAATATGTTATTGAAAACAATTAAAAATATTCACATTTCAATTATGTTAAGCGCTGAGCTCAGAACAGAAGATATGATAGTGAACAATGGGCCCTCCCCCGTGGAGCATCATGTAGTGGAGAAGCAAATATAATACATATATATATATATAAATATGTAGTTAGTATTGCTATGAAGGCTAAGTGTGGGATGCTATAAGAGTCAGTAACAAAAAGGATTTTTATTTTTAAGTGTATTTATTTTGAGAGAGCACATGTACGTACACAAGCTGAGGAGAGGCAGAGACAGATGGAGAGAGAAAATCCCAAGGAGACTCCACTGTCAGCATAGAGCCTGACTTGGGATTCGATCTCACGAACTGTGAGATAGGACCTGAGTCGAAATTGAGTCAGATGCTTAAGTGACTGAGCCACCCAGGTGCCCTGAGAAGGACTTTAGAAAATATCTTTCAGGAAGTAATTTTAAGAGTGATCAAAAAGTCGGGGCGCCTGGGTGGCGCAGTCGGTTAAGCGTCCGACTTCAGCCAGGTCACGATCTCGCAGTCCGTGAGTTCGAGCCCCGCGTCAGGCTCTGGGCTGATGGCTCGGAGCCTGGAGCCTGTTTCCGATTCTGTGTCTCCCTCTCTCTCTGCCCCTCCCCCGTTCATGCTCTGTCTCTCTCTGTCCCAAAAAAATAAATAAAAAATGTTGAAAAAAAAAATTAAAAAGAGTGATCAAAAAGTTTCATTGATGTTTGCTCCAGCTGAGGAAAAACTGGTGAATATATGTAGTTGTAGAAATGGCTTTATAACACCACATTTAGAGTAGCTTTTAGAATTTAAAGGTTAAGGAACAGATAATTTTATGCAAATTGTGTCAGAAAAGAAGAAGATGGAGACTGCTCAATTCATTTTATGAAATTGGCACATCTTTGGTTTCCATAGCAGACAAAGGGTAGTAGTGGAAAAGAAAAAAAGACAGCTATCCTCGCTTATAAATACGGATTCCAAAATTTTTAATAGTCATGTATTGGAGATTAGCAAAAATGAGTATGTAAAAAATCAATAGAATTGTGACAAAGTAGAGTTTGTCCCATTAATACAAAGATAATTTAATGTTAGGAAATATATCAGTCATTTAGCTTAATTCCGCTCATTTATGGATTAAACTAGAAAGTGCTTGTGCTCCTCTAAATTAATAAAGAAAAGGTGATAAAGTTACTCATTTCTACAAAAACAAAAGGTTTTAACCTCTTAAAGGATATTTACCATAACCTACAGCAAACAACATACTTAAGGAGAGACTCGAATAACATTCCCATTTAAATCAGGAAAAAGCTGAGGATGCCTGGTTGTCACCACCATTATCTATCTTTGTACTTGGAACCTGACCAGTGCTGTGGCTAAAAGAAAGAAGAGTATAAAGGTATTAGGGGAAAGGCACAGGTGTCATTATTTCTTGGTAATACCATTAACTAAAACCCAAGTCATTCAGTAGGCAAACTACTAGAAACAATGGTGTAACACAGAGTTGCTGGATACAAGAATCAGTCTATAGAAATCAGGAGTGTTGTATGTGGCAGAACTCCTTATTTACAGAAAACCTTAAAACTTTGTTGGAAGACAAAAAGGAAGACTTAAAATAAGTGGAGATTCCATGTTCATTAATGAAAAGACTCAGAATAGGCAAGATACTGATTCTTCTCAGGCAACAGAATCAGAGAGAGAGTAATTACAAATAAAGATTTGGTGCAGGCATAAGCAATTGTCATCAGTGGAGCAAAATTAAGCTCCCTCAAACCAACTCTTGTCACAGTGCAGATTGTGACTTGGTAAATGATAAAAGCAGCATTGCAAGTCACTGGGGGACATTTTGTGCTGCGTAAATATTTTGGGGGTAATTGGCTTTCTATATGAAAAAAGAATAAAAATGAGAAAAAAAATGGATACCACAAAGGCAATTGGATTAAAGTTAGCCTAAACCTGAAAAATTTACTAGAAGACAAAATTGAAGACTATTTGTGCGACTTAGATTAGATGGTTTTCTTTCCTAAACCAGACACAAAAGGCACCAACATAAAGGAAGACAAGTCATTTTCTTACATAAAAAGTTTTGATATGATACCATAAAGAAAATTAAAAGACAAGAAACAGTAGAACCACATACTTACAGAAGGATTAATATCCAGTACCTATAAGAGAAAGAAAAAACAGATCCATTTGAAAAGTGAAGAAGAGATATAAGCCAATCATAGGTAATGAAGTCTTAATTGTCAATGGAAATGAAAAGCTGTTCTATATTAGGAGAATCTGGAAAATACATATTGAAAAGATGCTATTTTTTACTTCATTAAAATGGCAAAAATTAAAGTTCAAATAATAAAAGATTGGCACAAATATAGGGAAAAGATAGCTTTGTATACTGCTAGGGAGATCTTAAAAAAATACAGTTCCTTTGTAGAGTAGTATGAAAATTTAGAGAAAATGGGCACAGCCTCTAGCCCATCACTTGGTAACCAAATACCTTATGGAAAACCCACTTGCATGAGGAGCTGCATGCAAGAATGCTCTTGTAGCATATTTGTAATAGTGTAAATTTGGAATAACCTTGAATAAAATGTGGTGTCATTTGATTTTAACTACATTTGTTTTGTTTTAACATTAATTTTGGGATGCCCATTTATTCACATGTTAGCATCCCCAGGTGACTGTGTGGCTCAGTCAGTTAAGTGTCTAAGTTGGGCTCAGGTCATAATCTCATGGGTTGTGAGTTCAAGCCCCACATCAGGCTCTGCTCTCAGCACAGAGCTCGCTTCAGATCCTCTGCCTCCCTCTCTCTCTCTGTCCCCCCACTCGCATGTGCTCTCTCTTCTCTCTCAAAAATAAAAACATTAAAATAAATAAAATTTTTAAAAGAGTGTTTTAAAATCAGTGATGCACCATTGTTTAATGGAGAGATGTTTTCCTTCACATCACACAGGGAGCGATGCACTTTGCAATAGATTGTGTTGATAAAAGAGGTAAGTATTACCATGACAGATCTAAAACATAAGATCAAGTGAAGAAAAAGAAAAGCTTCAGGATGATATATATAATATGTTGCCATTTATGTAAATAAAACACTAAAATATATTTCTGGGAAATCTGCATTTTAAAATATTAAAAGTGGTGGGGGGTGCCTGGGTGACTCAGTTGGTTAAGCATCTGACTCTTCGTTTTGGCTCAGGTTATGATCTCAGTTCATGAGTTGGAGTCCTTCAGCAGGCTCTGTGGCTCTATGCTGACAATGCGGAGCCTGCTTGGGATTGTCTCTCTCCCTCTCTCTGTGCCCCCTACTCATGCATGCATTCTTTCTATCTCTCAAAAATAAATTAACTTAAAAAAAAATAAAATATTAAAAACGGAAGAGGCATACATACTTGGTTAGGAGAGTTTGAGGGGGAACATTTATCTTCTTATTTTCAGTTGACATTTTTATCCCCTCCCCACAAAGTATAAGGGTGAGTACACACACAACCCAGAAATAAACGTCAGTTCTGAGTACTGGGAATGTGGTCATTTGTAAGTTTTGTGCCTTTCTTTAGTTTCAAAGTTTAAGACATATACACAGAGAAGAAAAATTTAATTGCTGCGTTTTTATGGATTTAAGACCTTTCTCTGTACCTTATGTTGTGTTTATCAGTATATGTACCAGGTGCTAAGTGTTTAAAGAATGTAAACTACCTGACGATGTTATAAACTCTCAGTATATACCTTTGGGGGAGATTTTACATGCATACATGCTATGATGGAGATAGAGCATACAGAGGAATTTGGGGAGCTTTTAAAAGTTGGTTATTGATCTTTTATTTTTTCTTATACAGTTTCCCAGATACGCTGAGATTGTCCACTTGACATTACCGGATGGCACGAAGAGAAGTGGGCAAGTTCTAGAAGTTAGTGGTTCCAAAGCAGTGGTTCAGGTAAGCATCATTTTCAAAACCTGGCCAGTTGAACAAAAACATTAGGTGACACTTCTTGTCTTTTCTAGCAGTTATTGAGTAAGTATATCTTGATTACTGGCTATTGGTAGAAAAAATTTTTTCTTGTTGTCTTGCCAAATGTCAGCATCTATATTCATTCTAGCCCAATAGCTCCACTGATAAATGGCTTTTTTTTTTTTAATTTTTTTTTCCTTTTTTTTTTCAACGTTTTTATTTATTTTTGGGACAGAGAGAGACATAGCATGAACGGGGGAGGGGCAGAGAGAGAGGGAGACACAGAATCGGAAACAGGCTCCAGGCTCTGAGCCATCAGCCCAGAGCCCGACGCGGGGCTCGAACTCACGGACCGTGAGATCGTGACCTGGCTGAAGTCGGACGCTTAACCGACTGCGCCACCCAGGCGCCCCCCCCCTTTTTTTTTTTTTTTAATAAAACAAAGCAGATAATCACATGGAAAGAGAAAGATGAAAAGACAGAATTTATAGCTTATGGGATGAAACCAAAACAAGATCTGAGTTTGTTTCATTTTCTTGTATAATACCTAGCTTTTAATGTTACCAATTATGAGAAATGCCAGTTTTCTCAAATAACATGTTCCTCTAAAAAGTACTATAGAGCAAGGATCAGCAAAATTTCTGTAAAGGACTACATAGTAAATTTTTAGGCTTTGTGGGGCCACCTAAGGTCTGTGATGCATATTCTTTTCCTTTCTTTTCCTTTTTTTTGTTTTTAAACACTTTAAAAATGTAAACAACATTCTTAGCTTGATGGAGTTGGCCTAGAGGCACAATCCTTGGTTTAGAGGTAGGCAGTTTGGTTCATCACCAGGGACATTTCTCTTTTTATTATGAAAATAGTATGCATTGATGTATTTTACTTTATATAGGCTGTTTAACAGACAAAAATAATATTTAAGTACTTATGATCTAAATCCCTTTTACTCTTCTGATTACTTTTTCTTTCTCAATAGGTATTTGAAGGGACTTCAGGTATAGATGCCAAAAAAACATCTTGTGAGTTTACTGGGGATATTCTCCGAACACCAGTGTCCGAGGATATGCTTGGTAAATGGATGCTATGCGTTGTGAGCAGAGATCTGTTTTCTTTTAAACATATTTCCATGGAGTCTTTCTTAAAAATGATGACTGTTTGAGTCATAGTCCACTCTGTACTGTCTTGTTACTGTTTTACAGGTAGGGTATTCAATGGATCAGGAAAACCTATCGATAGAGGTCCTGTTGTACTGGCTGAAGACTTCCTTGACATCATGGGTAGGAGCAATAAATGGATTTCTGTGTTTTGAAGAAAATAGCCTCTATTTTATAATATCTTTGTCAGAGAGTGATTTTTTTTGATAGTTTAAGTAGACAAACAATGTGGTACATATTAATTGTATTATTTAATTTTTTTCTAGAAATCTTAAAATTTTATATAAAATATTTTAAGATTATAAAATATCACTAGGGTATATCTGAAATATAAATAGCTTTGAAATGTAAAGGATTTTGAAATTAGGATTTCTCTCTTATTTATTTTGTTTTAGGAACTTGAGTACTGCTACCATGTATTTTGTGTCTACAAAAGACCGGAAATATTACTTAATGGAAAAGTTACTTAAACAATTTCAGATTTTTAAAAATAACTGATTCCATAAGAGTAGAAAGAAATTATTTATATGGCTATAGTCTTAATGTATTAAATGTTATCTTTTGGAACTACTTTAGGCCAGCCTATCAATCCTCAGTGTCGAATCTACCCAGAGGAGATGATTCAAACTGGCATTTCAGCCATAGATGGCATGAACAGTATTGCTAGGGGGCAGAAAATTCCAATCTTCTCTGCTGCTGGCTTACCACACAATGAGGTGAGAACTAGGATCTGTTTTGTGTGAAATTTAACAAGGGAGATTTTTTTTTTTTAATGTTTTATTTATTTTGAGAGCTTGTTATTGTGAGTGGGGGGAACAGCAGAGGGGAAGAAAGAGAATCGCAAACAGGATCTAGCCACACTGTCAGTGCAGAGCCCAATGCGGGGCTTGATCCTACAAACTATAAGATCATGACCCGAACCGAACGTTCAACCAACTGAGCTACCCAGGCGCTTCATCACAAGGGAGAATTTTCAAATGCTTCACTGTTAGTAGGAAACCAAATAAAGGGTTTTCAGCAATACTCACTTGTACCCATTGCCCATTTCAACAGTATTGTGCTTTTCATGCATGAGGTTTATCTTGCTTACTCTTACAAATCTTTGCAAAAAGTTACAAAAACTTTTTTGGGTAAAGTCCTTTAGAACATCATTTCATTTATAATTCCAATTTCAAAAAGTTTAGGATAAAAACGATTTTGTTGTAAAAATTTTAGATTTCAACTCAGTTCGTTTATACTTGTCATCAGATTGCAGCTCAAATCTGTCGCCAGGCTGGTTTAGTAAAGAAATCCAAAGATGTAGTGGACTACAGTGAGGAAAATTTTGCAATTGTATTTGCTGCTATGGGTGTAAGTATAATTTTTTTGTTTTAATATGACATATAAAATTAATTGTTTGTTATTAAAACAGTGCAGAAAGAACACATACATTGTTGGATTTATTTCTAGGTAGAGAAGTTGCAATTTGGCATTTTGGGGTAAACTCAGGATTAAAATTTAGCACTTGACTGCAAAATTTAAGAATAATTTTCTCTATGCCCAAAGCAGGCTGTTTTTACTCTGTTGGCTTTTGTGAAATTTTGGGGAGTACTTGAAACTTTAAAAGAAGGAACAGTGTAGATCCATAGCTTAGCCTTCATCAGAAATAAATACTGAGAATTTTTCTTCTCCCTGCACTGATGAAGTCATTGTTATTTAGGTAAACATGGAAACTGCACGGTTCTTCAAATCTGACTTTGAAGAAAATGGCTCAATGGACAATGTCTGCCTCTTTTTGAACTTGGCTAATGACCCAACGTAAGTAAATAGAGCTATTTCTTTCTGCTCATTCAGGATTTAGATCAAAAATGTTACTAAGCCAATGGAAGTAAAACGTTACAGTGAAAGCAACATGGGGATAGGAATGGCAGAGCTGTGTTTAATTAAATTCAGCTCTTCTTGCTGGCTAATTGGCTTTGGGCTAATCACCTTGGCTCTGAAGTTCAGTTGTCTCTCTCATAAAATATGACCAATAATACTTGTCTCATACTGTTGTGCATTTTAAGTGAGATAATACATATAAATTACCTAGTACCTAGTAAATGATCTTTTCCTCTTACTTGAGAAACCTAGCCCCTTGCCTATTTCTTCCCTCCCTGTTTCTCTCTCTCTGTTTTAAGAACAATGTAGTTCTGAGAAATTAGGGGCCCGTTTCTAAAATGATCTAACTTTGTAGCATTAAGTAATTCTTACTATAAAAATATATAAAATAACTGCTTACTTAAGAACTTTTAAAGTAATAATTGCTTTACCCTCTGCAATCTATTTAAAACTTTGAAGGGAAACTGTACTGTTATTTCCAGAATCATGTTGTTTAGTCTTTGGCCTTTTAATTTGAGTAACAAAGGACTTAATGTTCCATTTCAGTATTGAGCGAATTATCACTCCTCGCTTGGCTCTAACCACAGCCGAATTTCTGGCCTATCAATGTGAAAAACATGTATTGGTTATCCTAACAGATATGAGTTCTTATGCTGAAGCACTTCGAGAGGTAACTTTTTTCTAAAAATGGATTATTTTTCAGAGTTATCTTGTCTCTTTACAAGTTTTTATTTTTCTTTAATCATTTTTTTTAAGCTTCATCACTCATATATTAGTAAAATACCTTAATTGGAAAGGAAAACACAACTTTTTTTTTGTTAACCGAGTTGAAATTATTATAGGATAAGATTTAAATTATTAGCCTAGTTATCATACTGTCACCAGCTCCATGCATTTAAGACTTGATTCTAAAAGAGAGCAAATGATGCAAGTTGTTTATTCACTTACTCTCCTAGGATGTTCTTTGTCCAGATTGTCAATTTTTAACCCTTTTCAGAATTTCATTCTTAATAATGTTAGTATTTAAATAAAACAGCATACTCTGATAGCACCCTCTTTAGAACTTTTTCCTTCAGAAAACTCAGTGTTTTTTTAGGAACAATGTTAAGATTTTCGTAGTTACCACCCAGAAGTTTGGGGTGTTTGTTCTAATACAAGTTACTGAAATTTTGAGTAAGTTACTCTTTTAAACATGTAAAAAGGGAAAAAGGACTTCTGAAGAGACATGCTGTATAAATACCCAGCTTCTTAAAACTCCCTATGATCCATCACCATATCTCATTCTATTGCAGTGCTTTTTCAGCATAGGAGTTTTTTTTTTTCCACCCATCACAGACCAGTACTTTTTAAAAGTACAGTTAAAATGAGTTATTAGCAAATTTTAAAGAAGGTATAAACTTACAAGCCTGGAATTTTACTTTTACTAGATTCAACAGATGTCAGATTGCCATCAGTTTTTTAAATACTTATTCTACTTTCTGTGTTCTCTCATTACACATTGATAAAAGCTGGTCTGCAGACCATGCTTTGAGTACCACTACTGTAGCACACTCTTTTGGAGGTGCCAAAGTAACACCTAAAAGTTGGGCTTAATACTTTAGAATTCTTGGTGGTTGTAGGTTAATATATATGCCTATATTGTAGTGTGCATGTCTCTAAGGGAAAGACTATAACTATTCTTATTTTGTGTAATGAATGGACTCCTGGCTCTGTTATCTTGGGAAATTATTTAGCCAACCCTTGATTCCAACTGTAAGTTGGAGTTAACAGCATTACCTTCCTCACAGGATTGTTATGAGGATTAAATTAAATATGTAAGCTGCATCAAATGATCCCTGGTATGTATTTCCTTTTCTTTTGACCTTTTCAGCATTAGTTAGCTTACATAAATATGGCAAGATCCGTGGCATGAAATAAATCTTGTGAACTAAGAATGTTCTCTTAGTTTTAAAATAACTTCCTTTGATTTATAGAATTACAAGCAGATTTTTTTCTAGCAACATATTTGAAGATTTGCATTATGGTGATATGATTGTAGCAAAAGAAAAAAGAAAAACTTCTGCCCCCCCACCCCTTCAACATTTTTGTTACAGAATAATCTGAACTTGTGTTGCTAGGTTTTTAAGTCATCTTCTAGAGACTATTTAAAATTAAAAGAGGATACTTCCCACATTGTAATTGGGTATGTTTAAGAAAACATGTTCTAACTAAGCTTACTTTTCATATTCTGGTATGTGATATTCTCCTTCTTGACTTACTGTCAGGTTTCAGCAGCCAGGGAAGAGGTTCCTGGTCGAAGAGGTTTCCCAGGTTACATGTACACCGATTTAGCCACAATATATGAACGTGCTGGTCGAGTGGAAGGTAGAAATGGCTCCATTACTCAAATCCCTATTCTCACCATGCCTAATGATGGTAAGTTTTGGTCTTTGGATTATAGCACACCTAATCACTGTAAGGACTTGATTCTAAGACAGAAGAACATTTACCTTTTTGAGTTGAAATTCTGCCCCCCCCCCCCCAAAAGTTTTTATTTAAATTCCAGCTAGTTAACATACAGTGCAATGTTACTTTCAGGTGTAGAATTTACCCATTTCCCCCCACTCCCCACCTCCCCTCCCATAACCATCAGTTTGTTTTCTATAGTTAAGAGTTTGTTTCTTGGTTAGCCTTTTTCCCCTGTGTTCATTTGTTTTGGAGTTGAAATCCTTTTGAGAGTTTATCCTTCAAGAGTTTAGTGATTTGTATCTAAGTAAAATTTTTCATTTGATAACTGCCTATAATAATCATCCTTTTGTGGAAGAAGAAAAACAATTTTCTTTATAATTAAAATTTTCAATTTTCATTTATTAAATTACTACTGGGTGACTGCTATTATTGGGGACACAGATCTAGATATAAGGAATTCCTTTTGTGTTTTTAATTCAGTCTCTCTTTAATATAAGTTACTTGATCTAGTTGGATATTTTTTATGTATGTGTACTAGTAAGGTAGCTTAAGTGCCAAATGAAGAGCACAAATAAGAAATGCCACAAGACTTTAGAGACAGAGTGATCACCAAAGGCTGCTTAAAAATGACTCTGTTTTAGAGGGGGAGGCAAACCATAGGAGACTCTTAATGGAAGGGGGGTGGGTGAGGGGACAGAGTAGATGGGTGATGGACATTAAGGAGGGCACTTGTTGGGATGAACACTGGGTGTTATATGTAAGTGATAAATCACTAAATTCTACTCCTGAAACCAATACCACACTATATGTTAACTAACTAGAATTTAAATATTAAAAAAAGGACTCTTATTTTGTGAAAGTACACAGTGCAATGCCTGTGTGAGTGTATGCTCGGGAGTGAAACCATTCAGTAGTCCTCTTCTGTTACTGCCTTTTTGTCCTTACCTCCGTGCTTAAAAAGCACTTTTACAAAGTATTTTCAGAATCAGTAATAACTCACTGTAAGCACTGTTTTCAGTGTTTTATAAATATTACCTCATTTGATCCTCATAGCAGTTTTGAGGTAAATGTTCTACTCTGAGGCATAGGGAGGTAAAGTAACCTATTAAAGTTAAGAAGTGATAGCTTTAGAACCCAGACAGTCTGAATTTATAATTCACACTATACTGCCTCTCACATGAAAATACTTGTTCCAAGAAAGTACCTACAAAATTACTTTATTCATTTAACCAACTTAAAAACGTCTTGCTTTGTGGAACTTTATTGGTGCTGCCTGCATAGTGGTGGTTTGCTTGTCTAACATTCCTATACTTTCTGTGTTGAAATGGTGTGTATCCACTTGAAATAGCTTATGAACGAAGCATGTTCTCTCAGTATATATTAAATTGGTAAACCTCTGCCAGGGAACTTTGTGTTTAAAATGGAATTTTATTTATATTTTGGAGAGAAATAACTAGGAGACATGGTACTTTTTCTGAATGTAGCTAATTGACCTTAAATGCCCAATACATGTCTAACTATGCTGCAACTCTAACGCCAACCAATATGATAACCTCTAGCTACATTTGGCTGCTTAAACTCTAAAGTTAATTAAAATTAGGTAAAATTTGAAATCAAGTTTTTTGCTTACATTAGCCACAGTTCAAGTGCTCAATAGCCACATTAGGCTGGTGACTACCATATTGGACAGCACAGATACAGAACTTTTCTATCACAGAAAATTATTCTAAAGAGCACCATTTTATGTAATGCTATAGGTAATGTACTCTCACTTCTTGTGGGTTTGTTCATATGATATGGACACTTTAATGTCAGATGTTTTCCTCTGGTAGATATCACTCACCCCATCCCTGACTTGACTGGATATATTACAGAGGGACAGATCTACGTGGACAGACAGCTGCACAATAGACAGGTATTTGACATTTGAGCAGTGCTGTAAATCTTACAAATCTATTCTTCAGTTTCTCTTTACTGACTTTGACTTTGCTTTTAGGAATTATTTTGTCAGAAAATGTCAACTTGAATTGTTTATAATACAGCTGTAAAATTGTCATTTCTGTATACTTAAATCCTATTGTGGACAAGAATGCCAATACTAAGAATGAAGTTTCCACTTTTCTTAAAATGGAGTCAGAGGTCTCAAAGAACTTTCTTGGGTATTCTATTCCATAATAGCATAATCTACCAGTCTTATTATTAATACAAAAAATATTTTTTTCTATTTTTTATTGCAGTATCAGTGATAGTACATTTTATTAGTTTTAGGTGTGCCAAGTAATGACTTGATATTTATATGTATTGCAAGGTGATGACAGTAAATCCAGTTACCATCCATCAATACATATAGTTACAAAACACTTTTTCTTTATGATGAGAACTTTCAAATCCACCCACCTGGCTACTTTCAAATATGCAATGCAGTATTATACACACTGTAGTCACCACGCTCTGGATTACATCTTTATGACTTACTCGTTTTATAACTGGAAATTTGTACCTTTTGACTCCCTTCACCCAGTGCCCATCTTAGGCAGCCACCAGTCTCCTTTCTATATCTGTAAGCTCACAGTTTTTTGGGTTTGGATTTTTTAGGTTCCACATATAAGTGAGAACATAAAAGTATTTATCTTTTTCTGCCTGACTTATTTCACTTAGCATAACCCCTTCAAGGCCCATCCATGTTGTAAATGGCAAGATTTTTTTTTAATGGCTGAATAATCAAAAAAAGATTGATGGTTTTGTAATAGATGTGGCTTCTAATACCAGCTTTTGGGTGGAATTACTTACTGTTAATCTTTTTATTTCATATGTGATTATATGAATCACATAGAGCTCAGAAGGCTATTTACATTTGATACTGTAGGCAGATGTTGAAAATTCTAGCTTTTCAATATGCTCTTGTACTTTTTTTTGTAGGTTTCATTTTGAGTTTGATTCTCAAAAAAATACTATGCCATAAAGTCTCACTTCCTTTTCTTGCTAGGAAAAGATATTAGAACTTAACTAGGAAAGAAATAATGCAGTTTTATATAATTTAAGGGATAATAATGAGTTTCAAAATCCTTCTTTACTACCAGTAAATCTTGAATTTTGTATTTAAATGTACTTTTTTTCCTCATGTTCTGTGCAAGATTTACCCGCCTATTAATGTGCTGCCCTCTTTATCACGGTTAATGAAGTCTGCTATTGGAGAAGGTATGACCAGAAAGGATCATGCTGATGTATCTAACCAGCTGGTATGTATGTCATCTTAAGGATGGTGTTTAAAGAAACGAATACCTTTCTTAGTCCATTTGCTGTCTTACGCCTCTTGTCTTTCTCCCATATCACTGTACTTATCTCCCAATCCAAGTAGAACTTTAATAAAGGTTGCATGTGTAGAATATATAATCATTCATTAGAACCAAGTCTTTTTTTTTCCCCCATTAAGGACAGATGCTGATAGCCAAGTTTAAAACTCATATGCTTGATACCCATGTCTAATGCTATACAAGATAGTTCTAAATTAAAACAACAACAACAACAACAATATAAGTCCATTTTCAGTTATTATTAGTAACCTTAGTAATAATTAGAGTATTCCTGAATGATACTGTAATTTCTTAAGATCTTAAGCAATCACCAGAACACTAAGGGATACAGCTTTGTGTATTCTGTGAAGTCCGTGGTTTTTGTAGTTGTATGAGATTGTACACCAAGCACCATAAAGAAAAATACTTTTGACCTTAAAGTAGAAATGGTAAGCCTAGGAGCACCTGGGTGACTCAGCCAGTTGAGCATCTGATTCTTGATTTTGGCTTAGGTCATGATCTCATGGTTTGTGGGTTCGGGCCCCACATTGGGCTCTGCGCTGACAGCATGGAGCCTGCTTGGACTTCTCTCTCTCTTCCTTTCCTCTGATCACACTTTCTCTCTCAAAATAAATAAGTGAACTTTAAAAAAAAAAAGCAAACCTCATACCGCAAATAGTTTTTCTGAACTTTGAGATGGATTTCTTTGTGGTATGAGTTCTGACTTCACATGCTATTAAAATGTAAGCTCATTGAATGTTGAGGAAGTGTATGTTTTAGAGAATATTAGTAGTGCCTATGGACTGCATGCCAGAAGACTCCTTTCTCAGTGAGACTATAATAAAATTTTTCTTACACTTTCATATGAACTTTGTGTGAATTATGTTTGTAAATAATGTGAAATTCCTTCTGTGGTCTCTTACATGAAGATAGGTATAGAAATACTCCTAAATATATAGCCCAGATTACTGTTAACATTTATAAAATCTTATCCCTATTCATATAAGCGTTTCTTCTCTTTAGTATGCATGTTATGCTATTGGTAAGGATGTACAAGCCATGAAAGCCGTAGTTGGAGAAGAAGCCCTTACCTCAGATGATCTTCTTTACTTGGAATTTCTGCAGAAGTTTGAGAAGAACTTTATTGCTCAGGGTAAGATGACTGTTTTCTCACAAATATAAAAACCTCATATATAGTTTTGAAGACTTCTTTCCCAGTCTGGACAATTTACATTGGTCTCTACATGATTTTCCTTCTGAGTAGAGAAGAGGTTCTTCCAATTGTCTATCATGTCTTTGTGCACTTAGCCCTCAAGCTCCTTCCCCTTTGCCTTCAACTCCATTATCCATTCAGCTCCCATCTGAATTTTTCCTTCTCTTTCACCTGGCTTTCTGCTCTGCTGCCTCCACTGCTGGTTCTCCTTCCTCTTAGCCCCTCTGCAATGATCTCCTCTTGCTTTGGGGGTTTGGGGCTTTTCTAATTCACTTATTTTCATCTCCTTTTCTGATATCTTATCTTCCTCTTCCTTCTCAGAGGCTTAGCTTCCTGTTCTTTCTGAGCTGTTTTTTCCCTCTAGATTTAACTTTTTTCTTATGCTGTTGACTAAATTGCTATGTAGGATCCTCATCCTCTTTCTAAAGCTCTAATCCCACATCACCAACTAGGATACTTTTGTTTATGCTGCCATCTCCTCAGGCTTAGCATGGTCAGAACCCAGAGTTTTTTGGGGTTTTTTGTTTTTTTGCTGAACACCTGCCTAGCAGTTCTCTTTTCAGTTTATCTATCTCTTGCATGAGCATTGTCTTACTGAGCCCAAGCTCAGTGGGCATTATCCTTCACTTTATTCATTTATTCTCCAGTGACCAAATATTTATTAATTTGTGGTGTTCTTATTTAAAATATCCTAAGCACGGAGCCTGCTTGGAGTTCTCTCTCTCCCTTTCTCTCTGCCCCTCCCCTGCTTGTGCATGTTCTTTCAAAATAAATGGAAATAAACAATAAATAAGATATCCTATTCTGGTTTCATTTCCATTACAGTACATTAGTCCAATGTTTCTCAAATTTTAATACACTTTTGAATCAACTGGGATCTTGTTAAATTAGACATTCTGATTCAGTAGTTCTGGATGGAGCTAGAGATTCTGTATCTGGACAACTTCTTGGGTAATGTGGATGCTACTGATCTCTGACCACACTTTGCATCTTAAGGCCTAGTCCATACCCATTTCCCATCATCCTAGTCATCAGTGCTAGCTTTTTCATCACTTTTCCTGACTCTCTACGTCTCATTGCTAGAATAAATTTATTACTAATTTTATTGATTGTCCCTCTAGTAAAAAAACCATTATTGATAATGGTTTTCATCAAATAGCACATGTAGGGTTTTCAAGCTGTTTTGATTGGTCTCTCCTTTGCCACCTGCTAATGCTGCTAATACTCTACATTTGACCTCAGTGGTACTTACAACAAATGTGTTTTCTTTGGAATAATGCATCACGCTATACACTTAGGACCCGTGCACTCTTCTATGTATGTGATGGATTTTTTATTAACATTAAACCCAAAAAAATGTGGATAATTTTTTAATGCAGAATCATAATACCTTAAAAAGATTAAAATGAAGTTCTTTTAGTAGAGAAATGAACCCAGAATTTCAGCCACTCTGATTCTTCAGGCAAGAAATGAAATTTATTTGAGGATAAGAGTGATTCTGCTATTAAAATAATTAGTAACAACTTTGAAAATGACTGACCTATTCAGGGTATTTAGTTGACATTTAAGGTTTCTCAGTGTGTACAACCCTCCCTCAAATTCATCCTCTGTTTCTAGAAAAGTGCCTTTCTTGTCATCTCTGGACAGAATACTGGGTCTAGTTTCCATTGCTCCAGGTATTTAGGATCCTACCCAGTTATCCAAAAAGATGTCCCCCCACACACCAGACTGCCCTCTCTGGCCTGCAGGCCTCTCTCCCTTTTCTCTGATTCCTGATGGTACTTAACTGTATCCTTATTTACACATTCGGTTGCTTTCAGTCTTAAGAGACCTAACTGCTTTGTTTCTGTTTTCTTTTTTTTTCTTTCTTTTTTTTATACTCGATGCTCACAGCCCTACTGTGGCATAAATAATGAATAACACTGATAAGTGGTAAGTAGTTTACCGTTACTCATTCAATCTCATTTTTTTCTAAGGACCTTATGAAAACCGCACTGTCTATGAGACTTTGGACATTGGCTGGCAACTGCTCCGAATCTTCCCCAAAGAAATGCTGAAGAGAATCCCTCAGAGCACCCTGAGTGAATTTTATCCTCGAGACTCTGCAAAGCATTAGCTGCTACTTTATCGCTGGCTCGATACACTTGTGAAATAGTGTTCTGTTTTCTTTATTCCTTTTGCACTCCCTAATCCCCCATCTCTGTGTTGGAGTTTGCCTTGTTACCCTGTAATTAAAAACAAAGAATAGGTAACATGCTGTGCCAGTGTTGCAATGTTTTAAACTTCTAACAGACTTTAAAATATCCCCTGTTGAGAAAACCCAGGTCATCAGTGCTCTTTTTAAAGTAGCTTCAGGGATGGAGGTGAATTTTTCTTACTGATGTGTGTTTGTACATAGTGGTGCAGTTAGTTGCCTAATAATGTCTTCATTATTTGGGTCACCTCTACTTTATCTCTCAGCCCCCTCAAGAGTATCACTGTCTGAAATTATAACGCTTTGATCTCCAAGTTAGGGCCAGGATCAGGTCTAAAAGAAGCCTCCTGTCTGAAGAGCCAAGAGCCTTTTCCCTGAGTATTTGTTTTTGGATTGTTGCTGTGCTCGTAGGTATGTGCTGCTGCTCTAAGCAGATGGTTTTAACTGTCCACCTGCTTTTTCCTACTTAATGACTAGATTAGAAAAGGAGTTTCCTTTTTCTCTTTAGTCCATATGAGTTGGGAATCCTGTGTTTTACTGTTCTCCCTCCCTCTGAGTGACACAGAATCCTGCAGCTTTTGCACAGCTGGCATCAGTCTGATAGTAGCGAGATGCCTTGTCTTAATGATCCTTACTGGGTTTCCCTGCAGAGGAATCATAATTAAAATAACTAATAGAACTGTTGCTTGGAAAGAGTTGGGGTATAATAAAAGAAGAAGGAAAAACCCATATCCATTCTACATTCTGACATGCTGACAGTGGCTTAAGTTTCTAAAGTGTTTACCAGATGCTGAGGGCAAGGTGGGGAAGAGAAAGCTTTTCTGTGTATGGATATTTTAAACTCTGTTGACAGCAGCCTTTGGAAGACCCCCTATTTGGTCCTGTTTTCTGACCCATCTCTGCCTTTTCAGGTTAATCTTGTGATACAAGTGATAGCATTTAAAAGCTTTCGCCTTTTAATTCTCGCTCCTTCCTATTGTGAGCCCTGAGCTGTCTTCTATGCACTTTTGCCATGTCTACTGTTTAGTCTCTTTGTGTTCTTTGTTACTTGGGTGCAATAGCAACTTCTCTGTGCATTCCATCTTTCAAGTTGTGTAAAGTTCTTTTTTCTCTGAGGGTGTAGGGGTGGGGGGAGTCCGCATGATTATATTTTAATGTAGAAAATGTGACATCTGGATATAAAATGAAAATAAATGTTAAATTAAATGGAAGTTACCTAGAGTGACTCTGTATCTTCTAATCAGAAAAACAATAATAACAAGTGGATATATAATATATAATCACCTCTTTGATTTAGTTTTGAACATCATAACTAGTGTTGTACACCAGCCCCCTGTGTTATAGGGATATGGCCCATGTTTTATATCCTTCTGTCTTCAGGCTGACCTTTCTTTCCAAGCTCTTTCCACAGTAATATATCTTCCAACATACTGTGTTTTGATTCAAGCTTGAGAGTTACTACAAGTGTTTTACAGCATTGTTAAAACATTTTTCAAGACCTCTAGAACCTATCTGCAATGGATGAAAGAGGATGATAAATAGAAAATGAAACACATATTGAAGCATGCCAAAACTTGCTTCAAATAATACCTTAAATAGACATCCAGAATATAAAGAAAACATGGTGGTTAAGGACAAAGGTGTGGCATCATGGAGGCTTCCATTTCTCTCCCTTCTTCAAAGCAGTTGTTAGGAGATATAGAGGAGGAAGGGACCCAATCATGCAAGAACTAGGTAGACCTGTGTTCTAATTCTGGTTCTGCCAGTATTCATGGGACCTTGTTTAGTCTTTAAAAAATTTGACTCTGCCTGTGTTCCTTTTAGGGTTGTTAAAAGGACTATGGCCAGTGCCCGGTCCCTGGTAGGCACTTGTTGTAGACCATTTTTATTAACAAACTCTTACTGAGGCAGATTTGACTTGAGTATTCTTACATAATACTTAGGAAACATTGACTTAGTACCACTCTTGTTACTTACTTTTTAGTGGAAACATTAATGTACCTTTTTTTAAGTTTAAGTAATCACACCCAACACGGGCTTGAACTCGCCACCTCAAGATCAAGAGTCGTATGCTTTTCTGACTGAGCCAGTCAGGTGCCCCTTAATGTACCTTTTTGTACCAGTGATAAGACCTAATTAAAGGACCAGTTAAAAATGAGACTTTAACATGGACCCTTGTGATTATGTAATTTAAAAAAGGAAATATTTCAGTCGACTTCTGGGAAGAGAAAAAGTATTTTCAAAGGCCAGGCTAACTAGATGACTCATTAAACATTTATTGCTTTTAGTTGATTGTCATTTCGTTTTGCGAGATTTCATGGAAGTAAAAACATGTTTTCAGACTAATAAATACCTCACTAAGCTGTTTTATTTTCAAATGTCTGAGGTCAACAAAGCATTGTGTGTTAGGTTTTAAAAATGAAAGTTATGTGACTTACTACCAACTGTAGTTTTATTCCATATCCTTTTACCAAGTTGGGGCTGAACACCTACCTAGTGCTTAAGCGAACTGTGTGGTGTCTTCATCCTCTATATGAAGCCCTGCAATAGTTGAGGAGGTGACTCTGTGTTTAGAAATAATGAGAAATCTCTTTCAGTGACTAATCACTCACAGAGCTTTGTATCCTCAGCAGGAGTGGCCCTGAAGGGCTAGAGTTAGGAATTTCAGGGCTTACACCAAAAGTTAAGCTTTTTGAGGGGAGGTGAGACGGGGTTGTAGGAGCTGACAAGAACCTCAAGTCCATCTTCATTACTTTTGACCAGTTATATTCTTCACTTCCACAAGAGGGCAACAGCTCTTCAACAGCCATGCTCTGGCTAAACACTGAGCCCCAGAAATGGGGACACTTTTCACCTGCAGCAGCAGGACAATCAATGACTCATTGAATCAAATGGTGTTTTAGGGGCTACACCTTAGCCTGGGGGCTACAAGGAAACATGCTGTAATAAAAATAAACCAAAACCAAAATTGGTTGCCAAGAGCAACTTCTGACTGGACTCTGAAGTTCTAGATTAGAAAGATTGCAGAGCCTATATGGTCCAACTCCTGATAATTGAAGGCCCTTTTAAGCATCGGAAACATGGAAACCCCAGTTCTGGTGAACATGGAACTGTCTCAGGAGGCAGTCTACTTCAAGGATTAGCCTCTCTGATGGTTGGGATGCACCCAAGTCAAGGTAAACTGCCTCTGGATAACTTTACCTTTTCTTTTTTTAAATCTTGGCCTGTCCACCAGGGCTCTTCCATGTGATAACCCTACACTGCTCTGAAGATAGTTGCCAATTTTAAGTCTTCTTCAGTCAAATTTTTCTAGTTGACCCCTCACTTTATGGGTGATGGAATTTTTCAGTAACTTAATAGGTTCTGCATCTGATCTAGAACGGGAATCTTTGTACTTCTGTTCTAAGCTTTATGTTGTCCCCAGAATAAGAAGTTTCTCCAAGAGGCTCAGCCCATGAGAATCAAGTAGTCTCTGGAACTGAAATCATGAAAACACTAAACATGATTTTTTGGACTAACTCCCATTGAGGCTAGGATGCTGATTCAAGCTTAGGCTACTGGAAATCTCAATATGCTCTGAACTAAGACATTCTGTTCTCTGGTTCTATTGTACTTTCCCCCAGGATCTGCTTATTCAGTAGCACTCAGGTGGAACCCAAGCACTAGGGAATTTCATTAATGGTTTACCTAATAGATACTCATTGTACAGATAAGACTCAAAAAGTACAGGTAAGTAAAAAGAAATAAGAATCCTATAATCCTACCACTCAGAAGAAACTATTTACAGTTTGTCATATAGAATCCCTTAACAATTATGGCTTCTTTCCCTAGATACTATGTATACCAGATTATGGGAGTTTAAACTACAAACTCTTAATACATACACTTACAAAACAGCTATGTATTTTAATTGAGTGGTTAAAATAACACGGCACGTAAAACAAAAATAATTTCAAAATAAAGTTCTTTTGTTTAGATTTCTTCAACTACCATGAACACAGTACTTCTTAAAAGCCCCTTCTCATTGGTCCACTACTTCTGTCTCCTTCAGTGCCTTTGATCAAGGCCACAGTCAGGTCTGAGGAAACTTTTCCATTATGCTGCTTTCTAAAATTTTTTTTTTAATGTTTATTTTTGAGAGACGGAGCATGAGCAGGAGAGGAGCAGAGAGAGAGGGAGACGCCGAATCTGAAGCAGGTTCCAGGCTCTGAGCTCTCAGCACAGAGCCCAACATGGGGCTTGAACCCACAAACCGTGAGATCATGACTTGAGTCAAAGTCAGACACTTAACTGACTGAGCCACCCAGACAGCCCCTCATTATGCTGCTTTCTATGCTCTCTTCCCCTTTTCTATCATGAGACCTCAGGAACCAGGGTGGTCAGGCTGAACCCTGTGGGAGGGTGGAGAAGGAAAGCAGGCTGAGGTTCCAGTAAAGCTAGAAGCCCCCACTCTACTTGAAGTCAGGGGTAGGGGCAGGGTAAAACCTGAAAGGTTGTATGCTCGTTTCTGGGCCACCCAGAGAGGGACTTGGCCCATGAAATGTACCCCTGAGTACTTCAACAATGCCAGGCAGTTACTTGTATGTTTTGCCAAGGATTCTGAAAGATAAAAAACACAAGTATGAAAGATGTTTTAAGCCAATAATGGCTGGTGTGGAGAAATTTAATCACAGGTTCAGGCTGCATGCCATGGTTTATAGGAGAATCTGCTTTGACAGATCATTACCTGAAGCACTCAATGTGCCCTGGACTGTTGCAGGTCATATGGTTGTAGGTCACGCAGGAGAATGGTTACTCTGTGTGTGTGTATGTGTGTGTGTGTGTGTGTGTGTGTTTTAATAGCAGCTGTACTGAGATAGAGTTTACATACCATACAATTCACCTACTTAGAATACTTGCCATTCAGTGTTCTTAAGTATAGTCACAGAGTTGTGCGACCATCACAATTTTATAACATTCTGATATTGGCCCCCCCCCCCCCCACTCCTGTACCAATGAGAAGGCACTCCCTATTTTCCCCAGACCCTATCAGTCTGTATGGATTTGCCTATTCTGGACATTTTACATAAATGGAATTATGTAATATGTAATCTTTTATAACTGCTTCTTTCACTTAACCTAATGTTTTTAAGGTTATCCATGTCTAAGCATGTATCGTGCTTCTTTTTATTACTGAATAATACTCCATTGTATGGATATACTAATTTTGATTTATCCATTCATCAGTTGATAAACATCTGGGTTGTTTCCACTTTGTGACTCTTCTA